AATTAGTGACCTAATGTAGGGAATAGTGAATGAGGGTATAGGGGGCGATTTCGAACACAGCCATAGACTGTATAAAAACATGGACGTAGTGTCCGTGACGTCACCCGTAGGTTTCTGAAGAGGTTTTTGAAGCTCAAAGTGGGCGGAGCTGGCCATCGCCATCTTGGCAGTGCGTCACCGCGCGTCACTCCCGGATAATCGAAAATGGGCAAAGAGGCGGGAGCTGGTTGCTGAAGCCACGCCCACCTAGCTTGACGGTTGTGACAGCAGCTGCAATCCACCTGTCACCAAGTGGCCACGCCCTTAATTATGCAGAACTTTAAGGCTTAATATAATTTAAACGGATGAGTTATAAAAAAATTCACCCACCTTACAGTTGTCACGAAGGGCAAAATTAGCTATATAGACCAAAATCATTTTTTGAACCAGGCTGTAAACATGTTTTTTCTGCTGTAAAGTTAGGCATTTTAACATGGGGAGTCTATGGGATTGACTCCCTTTTGCAGCCAGCCTCTAGCGGCCAGTTGACGAATTACAGTTTAAGTCACTTCCATGTTGGCTTCACGAGAGAGAGCAGGAGGTTGCCGCTTGGTTTTCATCCATCCATTTCTCCAAACTACTTGTCTGGTGGAGGCAGGCCGCATTAACCATTGGGCTAGGCGGGGCTGAAGACCCGGGGCCCGTGATTGGCTGGGGAGTTGATTGACTGGTGCCGATTGCCAAAGCCCCACCCCTCACTTATTAGTGCTATTATTTAGTGGAGATTTTCCATATATTCCATGCATTACCTTTAGAGATTAAAACGTCAATCAAATGCATTTATTCTATAATTTTACTTTTGAAGGACCCGTGCACCACGTATCAATCAGGTGATCGCTGCAATGTCCGCATTCACCTCTCTTCACTTCTGGCATAATCTGGAAATGGTCATGCAAAGAACAATCTTCGATAAGTAAAAATGTAAACTATTCTAAAAAGAAAGTGAGAGAGGGGCTATTCTAAAAAAGAAAGTGAGGAGAGAGGGGAAACCATGAGTTAGAGAGTCAGTAAATCCCCAGCTATCAGGTTATTTTACTAAACTAGTTGTGGAACAGCACGTGACCGGGCACATGGAGCAGATACAATCACAGTGTCATCGTCCACACAGATTTTAGGTTAGTTTAGATTAACAAATTAACAACTTGATGGATGTATATTGCTTTTTTGAGTTTGAAGAAAGTGTATTCGCTTATGGGTTGAGAGATAAAGCGGTAGAAATATAGCCTATCAATCGTTTTGTGTGGCATGATGTAGGTTAAGCTTTTCCTTTAAACGTATTTTAAGCATTGTGGTTTAAAAACAAATGTAACTGTTCAGGGACATTAAGCAGTGGGGCAGAATTAATTTGGGCAAATGCATTAAGACGGTCACGTGGCACGCACCTGCTCTACAGCGCCAGTCTAAACTTGAGTTATTTTTCGCGCCTTGTGCTTAAACGTTCAAATGCACAGTTATGTGTCAATATCTCAACACAGTCATTTGTGTCTTAAATGAACGTTAATAGTTAAATATAAAGCATGTGTAGTAGTAGGCTATATGAGATACTAATATGATGAGATTATAAAGAGATAGTTCACCCAAAAATGAAAATACTGTCATCTTTTACTCAGCCTCAAGTTGTTCTGAACCTGTATGAATGTCTTTGTTCTCCTCAACATAAAAGAAGATATTTTGAAGAATGTTCGTAACTAGAAAGTTTCTGGTCCCTATTGACTTTCATACTATGGAAGTCATGGGGGCCCAGCAACTGTCTGATTACCAGTATTGTTCCAAATATATACTTTTACATTCAACAGCAGAAGGAAACTCATGCAGGTTTAGAACAACATCAGACCTTTAATTTTTGGGTGAGCTATTCCTCTAAAGCAGCCTAATTTAGCTGCTGTTAAAATTTATGTCAATAATGTTAATCAAACATTAGAAAGAAAATTACTCACTGTCCTTGACCGAATCACTTGTAAAATAAATAAGAATGAATGTATATTGAATTTATACAGTGAAGACTATTCAGTTTATTTTATACAATATAATTTCTTGTTCACCCGTAGGTTTCTGAAGAGGTTTTTGAAGCTCAAAGTGGGCGGAGCTGGCCATCGCCATCTTGGCAGTGCGTCACCGCGCGTCACTCCCGGATAATCGAAAATGGGCAAAGAGGCGGGAGCTGGTTGCTGAAGCCACGCCCACCTAGCTTGACGGTTGTGACAGCAGCTGCAATCCACCTGTCACCAAGTGGCCACGCCCTTAATTATGCAGAACTTTAAGGCTTAATATAATTTAAACGGATGAGTTATAAAAAAATTCACCCACCTTACAGTTGTCACGAAGGGCAAAATTAGCTATATAGACCAAAATCATTTTTTGAACCAGGCTGTAAACATGTTTTTTCTGCTGTAAAGTTAGGCATTTTAACATGGGGAGTCTATGGGATTGACTCCCTTTTGCAGCCAGCCTCTAGCGGCCAGTTGACGAATTACAGTTTAAGTCACTTCCATGTTGGCTTCACGAGAGAGAGCAGGAGGTTGCCGCTTGGTTTTCATCCATCCATTTCTCCAAACTACTTGTCTGGTGGAGGCAGGCCGCATTAACCATTGGGCTAGGCGGGGCTGAAGACCCGGGGCCCGTGATTGGCTGGGGAGTTGATTGACTGGTGCCGATTGCCAAAGCCCCACCCCTCACTTATTAGTGCTATTATTTAGTGGAGATTTTCCATATATTCCATGCATTACCTTTAGAGATTAAAACGTCAATCAAATGCATTTATTCTATAATTTTACTTTTGAAGGACCCGTGCACCACGTATCAATCAGGTGATCGCTGCAATGTCCGCATTCACCTCTCTTCACTTCTGGCATAATCTGGAAATGGTCATGCAAAGAACAATCTTCGATAAGTAAAAATGTAAACTATTCTAAAAAGAAAGTGAGAGAGGGGCTATTCTAAAAAAGAAAGTGAGGAGAGAGGGGAAACCATGAGTTAGAGAGTCAGTAAATCCCCAGCTATCAGGTTATTTTACTAAACTAGTTGTGGAACAGCACGTGACCGGGCACATGGAGCAGATACAATCACAGTGTCATCGTCCACACAGATTTTAGGTTAGTTTAGATTAACAAATTAACAACTTGATGGATGTATATTGCTTTTTTGAGTTTGAAGAAAGTGTATTGGTTGAGAGATTGAGAGATAAAGCGGTAGAAATATAGCCTATCAATCGTTTTGTGTGGCATGATGTAGGTTAAGCTTTTCGTATTTTAAGATTTTAAGCATTGTGGTTTAAAAACAAATGTAACTGTTCAGGGACATTAAGCAGTGGGGCAGAATTAATTTGGGCAAATGCATTAAGACGGTCACGTGGCACGCACCTGCTCTACAGCGCCAGTCTAAACTTGAGTTATTTTTCGCGCCTTGTGCTTAAACGTTCAAATGCACAGTTATGTGTCAATATCTCAACACAGTCATTTGTGTCTTAAATGAACGTTAATAGTTAAATATAAAGCATGTGTAGTAGTAGGCTATATGAGATACTAATATGATGAGATTATAAAGAGATAGTTCACCCAAAAATGAAAATACTGTCATCTTTTACTCAGCCTCAAGTTGTTCTGAACCTGTATGAATGTCTTTGTTCTCCTCAACATAAAAGAAGATATTTTGAAGAATGTTCGTAACTAGAAAGTTTCTGGTCCCTATTGACTCCAGTAGTGTATTTTGTTTTTCATACTATGGAAGTCATGGGGCCCCAGCAACTGTTGGGTTTCCAGTATTGTTCCAAATATATACTTTTACATTCAACAGCAGAAGGAAACTCATACAGGTTTAGAATTTTTAGGTGAGCTTTTCCTCTAAAGCAGCCTAATTTAGCTGCTGTTAAAATTTATGTCAATAATGTTAATCAAACATTAGAAAGAAAATTACTCACTGTCCTTGACCGAATCACTTGTAAAATAAATAAGAATGAATGTATATTGAATTTATACAGTGAAGACTATTCAGTTTATTTTATACAATATAATTTCTTGTTCAGTGCTTTAAGTGTTTCAAGTAGGTCTATTCTTTGTAATTTGTAGCTTGTCTTAAGTATAGGCTTGTTTTTACTTCGGCTAGTATTTATTTATTTTTTTATATTGAAATTGGTAACTAGAATGATGAAATTTCAGTGCATCAAAATTTTGATAGGATAAAAATCCTATTTAAAGCTATATATATATTATATTTGTAATAGGGGGCCCTGCAGTAAGTCATAGCCCCTGGGGCCAGTAAGGTCTTAATGCGGCCCTGGGTGGAGGGCTTCTGTCTTCAATAAATAATTTTAAATAGCATATAACAATGCATTAAAAAGGTTAGAACATACCATCTACTCCACCTTCATTCAATACAGCAAGCCATGCCAGTTTTTATTGTTGTATTGAGACAAAAGGTCAATTTGTGATGTATAGACCCTCTATTGGTCCAATTTTTTTTTTCATTTATTCTTTTGGTCAGAGTTCACCAAACTTCAGGACAGAAGCGAATGACTAACCGTTTACCCTCTCCAGTGTTTGCTTACCTATGAATGTCTCGTGTGACACCTGATTATTCCTCCGATCTTACACTCCAAAAAATGCTGGGTTAAATACAACCCAGTGCTGGGTAAAATAGGGACAAACCCAGTAATTGGGTTGTTTTGACCCAGCGGTTGGGTTACTACCCAGAAGGTTTGGTTAAACATTTAACCCAAACGCTGGGTCAAAAGAACACAATCGCTGGGTTTGGCCATATTCTACCCAGTGATGGGTTGTATTTAACCCAGCATTTTTTAGAGTGTATCTGCTTTTTAGGACAAGATGGACACTTGTGCCATTTTAAATGTGTAATATCCGACCGTTCTCCAGCATATTTCTCCTCATGGGGCCATTAAACCAAAGTAACAAAGTAAATCAATGACAGCTGATTAATATCATTACAGACATCCACCTTCCATTAATGACTGATAGTTGGTAGAAACCTCTGTCTAGAAAGCAGAGCAGCGTTCGCTCTTATCCGCGGGAGGCTTTCGCCCAACGTTGAATCTCGGCTTGAACGAATGCTCTGAGATCAGCTGATTTATTTCGTTCTGCTTGTAGGTTGCCAGTTTTTGAGTGAGCCAAGGTGCTTTGGGTTCACCTACTGCTCCTTGAAAATATTTCATACACGCCCGACCTATTAAATACACAACCTCTGCAATGTTCAGCAAGACACAGACTCCAGACACGGCCAGCATGAAGACAGTGAAGACGGTCTTCTCTGTGGGACGCGACACGAAACAGTCCACTGTATTGGGACAGGGGTAAGAGTCACACTTCACAAGACGCACCATCTTGATGTCCGGATAGATCAAGTAAAAAATGTACAAGAAAACCATCTCGAAAACGATGCGGAAGATGATGCTGATCATGTAAGTCCACCACAGAGCACCCGTGATCTTGAATTTCTGGCTCTTGATGTTCTCGAAGTCCTTGGCGCTCCCTCGGCCGGAGATCTTGAGGATCTTCTTCTCGATGTGCCGGCGGTGAGCGATGTGCATGGCCACCAGCAGGGCCGGCGTGGACACCAGGATGAGCTGCAGAGCCCAGAGGCGGATGTGGGAGATGGGGAAGAACTGGTCGTAGCACACGCTGTTGCAGCCGGGCTGCTGGGTGTTGCAGGTGAAGCCCGACTCTGCTGTTAAAATTTATGTCAATAATGTTAATCAAACATTAGAAAGAAAATTACTCACTGTCCTTGACCGAATCACTTGTAAAATAAATAAGAATGAATGTATATTGAATTTATACAGTGAAGACTATTCAGTTTATTTTATACAATATAATTTCTTGTTCAGTGCTTTAAGTGTTTCAAGTAGGTCTATTCTTTGTAATTTGTAGCTTGTCTTAAGTATAGGCTTGTTTTTACTTCGGCTAGTATTTATTTATTTTTTTATATTGAAATTGGTAACTAGAATGATGAAATTTCAGTGCATCAAAATTTTGATAGGATAAAAATCCTATTTAAAGCTATATATATATTATATTTGTAATAGGGGGCCCTGCAGTAAGTCATAGCCCCTGGGGCCAGTAAGGTCTTAATGCGGCCCTGGGTGGAGGGCTTCTGTCTTCAATAAATAATTTTAAATAGCATATAACAATGCATTAAAAAGGTTAGAACATACCATCTACTCCACCTTCATTCAATACAGCAAGCCATGCCAGTTTTTATTGTTGTATTGAGACAAAAGGTCAATTTGTGATGTATAGACCCTCTATTGGTCCAATTTTTTTTTTCATTTATTCTTTTGGTCAGAGTTCACCAAACTTCAGGACAGAAGCGAATGACTAACCGTTTACCCTCTCCAGTGTTTGCTTACCTATGAATGTCTCGTGTGACACCTGATTATTCCTCCGATCTTACACTCCAAAAAATGCTGGGTTAAATACAACCCAGTGCTGGGTAAAATAGGGACAAACCCAGTAATTGGGTTGTTTTGACCCAGCGGTTGGGTTACTACCCAGAAGGTTTGGTTAAACATTTAACCCAAACGCTGGGTCAAAAGAACACAATCGCTGGGTTTGGCCATATTCTACCCAGTGATGGGTTGTATTTAACCCAGCATTTTTTAGAGTGTATCTGCTTTTTAGGACAAGATGGACACTTGTGCCATTTTAAATGTGTAATATCCGACCGTTCTCCAGCATATTTCTCCTCATGGGGCCATTAAACCAAAGTAACAAAGTAAATCAATGACAGCTGATTAATATCATTACAGACATCCACCTTCCATTAATGACTGATAGTTGGTAGAAACCTCTGTCTAGAAAGCAGAGCAGCGTTCGCTCTTATCCGCGGGAGGCTTTCGCCCAACGTTGAATCTCGGCTTGAACGAATGCTCTGAGATCAGCTGATTTATTTCGTTCTGCTTGTAGGTTGCCAGTTTTTGAGTGAGCCAAGGTGCTTTGGGTTCACCTACTGCTCCTTGAAAATATTTCATACACGCCCGACCTATTAAATACACAACCTCTGCAATGTTCAGCAAGACACAGACTCCAGACACGGCCAGCATGAAGACAGTGAAGACGGTCTTCTCTGTGGGACGCGACACGAAACAGTCCACTGTATTGGGACAGGGGTAAGAGTCACACTTCACAAGACGCACCATCTTGATGTCCGGATAGATCAAGTAAAAAATGTACAAGAAAACCATCTCGAAAACGATGCGGAAGATGATGCTGATCATGTAAGTCCACCACAGAGCACCCGTGATCTTGAATTTCTGGCTCTTGATGTTCTCGAAGTCCTTGGCGCTCCCTCGGCCGGAGATCTTGAGGATCTTCTTCTCGATGTGCCGGCGGTGAGCGATGTGCATGGCCACCAGCAGGGCCGGCGTGGACACCAGGATGAGCTGCAGAGCCCAGAGGCGGATGTGGGAGATGGGGAAGAACTGGTCGTAGCACACGCTGTTGCAGCCGGGCTGCTGGGTGTTGCAGGTGAAGCCCGACTTCTCGTCGCCCCACACGCTCTCGGCTGCCACCACCAGCACCATGATCCGGAAGATGAAGATGACCGATAGCCAGATGCGGCCGATGCCTGTCGAGTGCCTGTTCACACCGCTGATCACCGCGTAAAACGACGCCCAGTTCATGGTGGACTCGAGGACTGTAGAGACGAGAAAGCAAAGCACAAGGACTTTAATCTGTGTGTTCTTGACAGGTTCAACTCTGCAATAAGTCTTTTTTACCAGTCAGGTTTGTGTATACTTGGCTGTATTTGTTTCTCATGAAAATCCCTCAAATGAAATTGTTGTGAACAAATATATATGTGACCCTGGAGCACAAAACCAGTCATAAGGGTAAATTTTTGAGTTGTATACATCATCTGAATGCTGAATAAATAAGCTCTCAATTGATGTATGGTTTGTTAAGATAGGACAATATTTGACTGAGATACAACTATAAACAAAAAATCTGAAATCTGAGGGTGCAAAAAAAATCAAAATATTGAGAAAATCATCTTTAAAGTTGTCCAAATGAAGTTCTTAGCAATGCATATTACTAATCAAAAATTAAGTTTTGATATATTTACAGTAGGAAATTTACAAAATATCTTCACTGAACATGATCTTTACTTAATATCCTAATGATTTTTGGCATAAAAGAAAAATCAATAATTTTTTTTGGTTATTGCTACAAATATACCCCAGTGACTTAAAACTGCTTTTGTGCTCCGGGCTCACATATTGTGCCTGTGTTTAAAAAAAAAAAAGTTTTATACACAAATTTCAAAAATAAAGCATATATACAGGTGCATCGCAATAATTTCTTCTACACTTTTTCCTTCCACTCAACTTTGTGTTAACATGCTTGGATACAGCACTCTGTGAACAGCCAGCTTCTTTGGCAATGCATGTTTGTGGCTTACCCTCCTTGTGAAGGGTGTCAATGATTGTCTTCTGGACAACTGTCAGATCAGCAGTCTTCCCCATGATTGTGTAGCCTAGTGAACCAAACTGAGAGACCATTTTGAAGGCTCAGGAAACCTTTGCAGGTGTTTTGAGTTGATTAGCTGATTGGCATGTCACCATATTCTAATTTGTTGAGATAGTGAATTAGTGGGTTTTTGTTAAATGTGAGCCAATATCATCACAATTAAAATAACCAAAGACTTAAACTACTTCAGTCTGTGTGCATTGAATTGATTTAATAAACGAGTTTCACAATTTGAGTTGAATTACTGAAATAAATGAACTTTTCCACGACATTCTAATTTATTGAGATGCACCTGTATATATATATAGATATATATATAGATAGATAGATAGATAGATAGATATGCAGAGCTGGGTAACTGATTACATGTAATCTGCATTACATAATCAGATTCCAAAAATGAAGTACACGTAATTAGATTAAATTACATTTGAAAATACTCGTAATCAGACTACAGTTACTTTTTTATTGATTACATGATTACACAATATCCACACAATAGCAATAAATTATAATTTATTGATTCTCCCAGTTTATTATCTTTTAAATGTTCCTTTCTAAAATAGCCTACCGCTTGCATACACTGAAAGTCTTGCAGTTTTGTGGACATTCACACAGAGACCTGCCACTAATCAGGTGCCTATACTGTAATTACACAGACAACTGAGAAGCCACACAGCATCTGAGCACTGGATTTACAGAAATAATTTCAGTTTTAAGAAGTGTTTTCTCAACATTTCAGCATTGCATCAACTATTGATGAACACATTAACTTTAATTTGAATTATCACTCAGTTGGTTATTTTACCATGTCTTTGGAAGGCTTTTGTCTTTCAGTATTTACAGGGATTCCCATTTTATTTTTTTTATTTTTTTTTGTCATCTGAACCTCTTTCACCTAATATATTTACTTCAAGTCCCCCCGAGATGCTAAAATAAATATTTTAATACTTAAGTATCACATTTGCATGTTCACTGTTCTCTGACGTTAATTAATGATCACATGACATGCAGGAAAACAAATAAAATATTTCATCTTTTAGTAAGTGTTTTATTTTGATTGATGTTAATTTAAAAAGATTTAATTAATTATTAGCTTTTTCAGTAAATTCATGAACCCCCTGCAGTTCCTTCACAAACCCCAGTTTGGGAAACCTTGATGTAACGTAATGTTTAATGCACTTCATGTTGTTACTAACAAGAAATGTAATATATTTTCTTTGTTCTTTGCATTTTTATATCAATATTATACAATATTTAATTACATGTACTTTAATTACAGTTACTTCTGATGGAATTACATTAAACACTTGGTAACACTTTATTTTAAGGTGTCCTTGTTACACACGTTACATGTACTTACTATTGTAATAACAATTAATTATGCATAATTACATGCAAGTAACCATAAACCAAACCCTCATCATAACGCTAACCATATAGTAAGTACATGTTGTTAATTAATGTTACTCAGTACTTAAATATATAATTACACTGTAACAAGGACACCTTAAAATAAAGTGTAACCAAATACTGTATAGTCTGTAGAACAATAACCTTCTCCCTTTAAATACTTTGGTCAGTTCAAGAATAATTTATGCAATTTTATATTATTTATTTGAAAGAAAAGCAGTTTCATGTCCATTCTTATATTGTTCAAATATGGCATTTAGAAAGTCATTAGTAATAAGTAATGAGTAATTAGTACAGTAATCTAAATACACAAATGTAATTATTAGGTTTTAATGCCTTTACAATTACGTACTTATACATAAAATGTGGAAAACAGTCACAATAAAGGGTAAAAAATTTTAAAACTTTTGACTGGTAATATGTGTAACATATTCAGATATGTCATACACAACATGGCTAAACACATCAACTTTTAAACTACCAATTACACAACATTCAAGATTACTGTAATCCCAACAAACAAAACAATATAATGCTAAATTACAAATATTTTCTGACATAAAATTCTGAATCTGAGCAGTAATTTACCAGCTTCAGCCCGTGAGAAAGCAGCTTATGCTACCAGCTCCAAACATGAAGAACAACAGACTGGGTTCTTGGCATTTGGATACTTGGTTGACTGAAATAAAAATGAGTTGTGGTTAATCTGGAGCTGGTTGGGAGCTTGGGCGATGGTCTAGCACCGCATGTCGTCACCTGACACAACACAACCTGGCCAATAGCAAGCTTTCGGTTGGCCCACACAACAACTCCATATATACACTAATACAAGATATTAACTGTGATCAGAGCTCAAAGCACTTCAGTATGTCTGTATAAACTATATGACGAATCTTCAGTCCAACTTGCAATAAGGATTAAAATTTTACGATGTGTTCCAAAAATAACTGAACGAATGCTGAGCAGTCAATTGAACGTTTACATGTTTGATAATGGTATATGAAAAGAGCGATTTACCTTCAGCTGTGATAATTTAGAGACATTTCCAGGATTCGGCTAATGGCCTCGCTAAAGATCAGAATGCCCTTTGCAAAGGATTTCTGCGCTACTAGCCACAACCCTGCACCATGGCTGTCATATGCACTTATATAACCCATTTATACACAATGCGGCTCTTTATGGAGGCTAACAAGACTCTTCAGAATTCAGATCAAATGCCTTGATTTCCACCCACCCGGGGCAGAAGAAAGAATCTGTGTGGACACAATGAGCAGCAACATTATTCATTGTGCCTGGCAGGGAGAGGAAATG